GGTGATGCCCCTGCCCACGGCAGAGGGTGGTGGCTCTAACCTGGCTGTCTGAAGACTCCCGGCTCAGTCTTTCCCCTACTACTCCTGTGTTCTGTCTGATCATCTCTTCTCCCTGGGCCGAAGCAGCCATGGTAGAGACCCCGAACACAGGGTAGGCCCTGCTAGGTCCAAAGTGCATTCCCGAAGGCTTCGCCTGCCCAGAACAAGCTGAGGATGAAAGGGCTCCACCAACTATAAGACCCTGGCTTTGGAGACCTCCCCTCAGCCAGCATCTGAGCTCTGATCCTTGCCCTCGGAGTCCCAGCAATTGCCTCAAGACCACAGAGGCCCTCGGAGAAATCCCATCAAAAGCTGGGCACTGACCGCTGGCACACGGGCTCTCCAGGCTCTCCTGCCACAAGCTGCTCCCTGAGCTCGATGAGTCCCCTCCTGAGGGAGTGTGTCCCCACTGCACTTGAATTTCTCAGTTCCCTCCCATCTCCCCAGTCCTGTTTCTAAAGCAGTTGATAAATTCATTCAACAAATATGTATTGAGTACCTACTTGTGTCAGACACTATTCTTGAACTGAAAGAGAGAATGTGGAGGGCATGGAGGCACCTGGGAAGCCCCTTGAGCCAGCCTTACACTTCTAACCCTGGCTGGCCCCTCTGACAGCATTTCCACATTCTCTCCGATGACTGGACATTGCCCAGGGATGCCCTCCAGAGGGCCCAGGCTTGCTGATCAGTTACCCCAAGGATAAACGTGCTTAGCTGCTTGGTTGGTACTGACCTGAGGCAGAACAAGAAACCAGAATAGTGTGCCTCTGTGGGAAAACATGGGGTGGAGGGGGACAGAGAGCCCTGCGCCTGGGGTCCAGATGGCAGAGCCAGCCACATCCCCCAGAGCAGGCCGGTGGTCCCCTCCAGCTCCCCCGAGCGTGACAGCATACCTTCTGTGCACCAGGTTCTTTTTACATTCCTGGTCCCAAAGCTGTAGAACCTCCTTTGTGCCCTTCTCAACCTAAGAGTTCCCACTCTTTCTGGGCCAAGAACTGGGGTGACTCCACTGTCTCTGGGCCACCCTGTCTTTGCTGGAACCAGGCATCCTGTACACACTTAGAGGGAAGATGTTTTGTCTAGGTTCTACACCTGCCTACAGACTCTGGGTGTGTGGCTTCAGTGCAGGCATGAGTGACCAGGCTTAGCTCATGGGCCAGCCAGGGTTTGTGGAAACCTCTGCCCCGTAGACACTCTGACCTTCCTTCTACAGAGAGTCAGGCAGCGCCACCAGGGAGGAGCTAAAATCTAGGGCACCGTTTCCTCCCCATCCTCCTCTTCACAAAGAATATAGACGTGTGTCTTGTCTGTCTTCAACCTACTTTCCTTGTTTTCTTTTTTCTATTTCTCATCCTTTCTGTGCTGCCTCTCCACCCAAGAGATCGCATAGCATCATGGAAAAAAGTCCCAGAAGGCCATCCTGGCTCCGCACCTAACTCACCGCGTGACACTGAGCTAGTCCCCAGCCCATTTTGGGGCCTCAGTTTCTGCACTTGGATAAACCAGATGCTCTCCAGGGTCTTTTTCCACTCTGCCACCCTACAGATTTTCATTTTATTTTGCTTTCTTGGGATCTTTTCCATCTGAGGGTACAGGAAGTGCCAGGACCTGTTTCAGTTTTTGAATCCTGCAAGCACATTCCAAGACTGGCCTGAAATTGCATGAGTAACATCACTCTAATTTTTTTTTTCTTTCAAAAGCACCTTACCAACCAACTGCAATGCTGTCCTGTTCCTTTTTACTCACAACCCTCTCTGCTCTCTGGTCCCCGCGCCCCCCCACCTCAGTGCTCTGTGCTGTATGCGTGTGCTCTGTTCTTGTATACTCAATAAAAGTGAAATAAATGTGTTTGATGCTGAACCACAAACTGCCTTGGTGCATCTCTTCTCTTTCTCTCTCTCCTCTCTCTTCTCCCCCCACCCCCTTTCCTTGACTACCAGTACAAGTTGGCATTTTGAGAAGGGCTAAAATTGAAGTGGAGAGATCCCAACCTAGAACATGTTCATACAACAAATATTTGCAGCTCTGACTGTGGTCCAGGTCTTGCATTAGGCTTTGCAGGTACAACAACAAGTAAGACAAAGTCCCTGCCCTCCAGAAACTCACAGGCTCGTGGAGGAAAAGGACAACAAAACAGGCAAGCAGTCAGAGACAATTCCTGAGTGATCAGCAACAGGAAGGAAATGCAGAGGGGACAGGGGTGGTCACTGAAGGAGACAAGCTTAAATAAGGTGGCCAGTTATGACCTCCCTGGGGAGGTTATTTTTGAGCTGAGTGAAGACAAATATCCAGTGAGGAGGAGAACTCGGGTGAAGGCATTCTAGGCAGAAGGGCCGATAAGCATCCAGGTCCCAGGACACAAAGGAGCTTGGTGTGTGGATGGACAGCATAATCCCACCTCCTTTTTCTGAAAGAAGAGCACCAGCATCTGGGTCTCTTCCTGCACACCCTTCCATCGGAGCCTGGTGGATAATGTAGACAGCAACCCCCAACTTCAGCCTCTGCCCACCATTTTCACAGATTTTGCCATATCCCTAAACATACTGCCTGTCTCATTGTTGACATCATTTTTCTTTAAATTGTCTCTGCAAAAGGAACCCCAAAACACAAATTTATTTTAAAAAGGAAACTATATTACTTCTGTAAATAGAAAACTAGTGTCACTTGCCAAAGAAAGGTCTTCATAAAAATAAATGCAGAAATATTAATATTAAAAACCCATAATCCATGTAAAACTTAAACTTGTCCCTTGGACTACGTGAGGCACAGGTACCAACACTTCCATTTTTATTCTACTAAGTGACTCACCCCAGACCACCTTTTTTTTTTTTTTAATTAAATGTACTGGGTGACACTGGTTAACAAGATGATATGGGTTTTAAGTGTACATTTCCATGATGTATGAGCTGTAAATTGTACTGTGTGCCAGACCATTTTTCTTTACTGTGAAAATCTCACAAGTGAGAACCATTGCTAATAATTTGGTGCACTTTATTCCAGACTTTGCACGTACATGTATTTTTTTCCAGAGTTGAAGTTACCTTGTACATAACATTCTAAATACTTTTAAAAACTTAAATTCTAAACATTTCCCTATAATTTCAAATACTAATTTATTTTATTGTTAAAGATAATTCATTAAATGATACAAAATGCTCTGCAGTGAAGAGCAGTTCTTCGGCCCTCTGCAGACTCCTGTCCACTGCCAGAGGTGTTTGTTTCCAGGAGCTTTGTGACTCCTTTCCTGAATTTTCTCAGTAGGTTTCCTTATCTGTCATCCTTGGGGTTCTTCAGTGGGTCTTGTTTTAAAAATATTGGGTCTCCACACACCTGGCTCTGGATCTGTCTCCCATAAATACAGGGTCAGCCTCTGTGCTGCTTGGGAATAACCTGAGGTGGCTTAATTTACATCAGTGCTTCTCAACACAAGGGGAGTTATTTTGCCCCCCAGGGAATATTTAGCAATGTCTGGAGACATTTTTGGTTGTCACAATTGAGAGGTGCTATTGGCATCTAGGGGGTGGAGGCCAGGGATGCTGCTAAAAATCCTACAATGCACAGGACAGGCCCCACAACAAAGAATCATCTTGTTCCAACTGGCAATGTTACCAAGGTTGGGAAACCTGACCTGAATGGACATGCAATCTATAAGGTCAGATTCCTGGGTCATAATTCAGTACCCTGGAGTCTCTGAGAAGGTGATGAGTTCAGTGAAACAGGAAGCTCTGAGACATACTATGGAGTTCAGCACCTAGGACTGGAAATAGGGAGGGGTGAGGAGGGAGCTGAGCTTCTTCATGCAGGAAATGGACTGACACAACAAGCTGAGATTGACACCCATGACTGTGACTGACAGAGGCCATCTCTGGTTAATTTTGCAGCAGCTCACTGTGATTAACCATGACTGCAGGGCCTGGTCTAGTCTGTAACCACTAAGAGATGAATTTTGACTGAGACAGATTGGTGTGTCCAGTGTCACTGAGGAAATGTGACAGACAAGCTAAGGAGCAGGAGCGCAGGGACAAGAACAGCCAATCAGACCTTGGTTTGCATCCTAGATCTGCCACTCTCTCGCAGTGTATCCTCTCTGAGTCTTGTTTTTTTCTTCTGCAAGTTGGGGATGCTGATACCTACTTATCAGGGTACTATAAGGTTTAGAAATCATATATGAATGGCCTACCCTATGGATTTTGGACTTACCTTGCCAGCTTAAGCCAATCATTGCAATAAATCCTCAATATATATCTCCTATTAATTCTACTTCCATGGTTGGACCCTGACTAGTACAACCACCCAGCACAGGGCAAGATCCCCAATGAGAAGTCCTTTATAATACCAACATGCTGTCATTAATTAAATGCATAATATATGTACTGCGCTGAGCCTTTGTACCTGGATTTGTGCTAGGTTCCAGGAAAACAGTAGAGAACAGGACAGGCAGGTTCCCACCCTCTGGCTAGACCTGTGCTGTGGGAGGACACTGGGTGATTATGGCTGTAGAGACTGAGGTGGTGACTATGCTACTGAGACTGGTTCTGTATGGGTTAGGGGCTGGGTTTCTGGGGTGCTCTCTTATGCCTGAGTGTAGTTTTAAGCTAAGACTGGGTGATAATGGGCCAGCTGTGTCACTCAGGTAGACACTGGCTGACCGGGGCAATGACTGAACATCTGATAGTGGCTACTAAGCAGCTATGACCTTGACCCCAGCTCCAGTGATCATAACTGATTGAGACCAACGGACCATGGCTGGTGGGTGCGTTTCTGGAACTGGATATAAAATGCACAGTTTGACAAAAGCTTCTAACCACAGGGTTCAGGAACTAAAACAAGGGGAGGAACCTGCAGGCGCGGACCGCTCCTCCCGCGACCTGGAGATCTGCGGGCCGTTTTTGCCGTTGCTCCTGTCCTGCGGCGAAACTTCCGGTGCGCTTCCGCGGCGCTTGAGCGGGGGCGAGACCGGAGCTGCTGAGCGCGGCCTGCCGGCCTGCTTCGGCTGCTCTGCTTTCGTTGTCTGTTTGGCGGGGCCCCCCCTCTTCCCAGCCTGGGGTCGCGGCGCCCGAAGTAGGGCGCCTCGCTGGGGTCTGTGGGCCGGTGGTGGGACCCCGGTGTCTCCAAAGGCCTGTGTCCCAGAGAAACCGCCACCAGAGACACCGCCCCCATACTTCCCGGGGTAACTTCGCCCTTTTCCTAACTTTAGAACTTGGGGACCGGAGACCGTGGCTGCGCCTGACCTGGTTCTTTCCGACTCTCGGTAACTTTTCTGGTAAGGTCTTTCCCCGAAAGGAGCTTTTGTTTCTCCACTACAAAATGAGTATCATGTTTATAGATGTTTATCAAGTGCCTAGTGTGTGCTAGAGGAGTAAAAATACTCAAATCTCGTGGAGGTGACAGCCCTCCGGTACACATGGGCAGAACTGCAGACTTGATAAGTGAAGTGAATAGGCAGAAGGCCCCGTGAGAGTGGATCACAAGAGGCCTGACCTAGGAAGCTTTACGAAGGAGAGAATATTGAGCTGAGATCAGAACAATGATTTGACAAGGAGGGGAGGGAAGAGTTTTCTAGCCGGAGGAGCCCTCACGTTTGAGGGTTGGAAAGAGGCCAGTGCGACTGGAGCAGAGAGCTTGTGTGGGGAGCATGGTGTGGAACAAGCTGGAGGAGTGGCCAGGAGCCAGACCATCATGCCTTGTAGGTCCAAGAGCCACATGGGAAACCACTCAGAGTTTAGTACGTGTGGGTGCCAACATGCTTAGAATGGCATTTTGAAAAAGTCATTCCAGCATTGGATGGAGAATGGATTGGAGGGGCAAGTGTTCCGAGTGAGGGATGTGGTAGCTTGGATTAAGGAGGTGGTGGAGAGAAGTGGGTGGATGTCACTGCATTCCAGGGCATCTTCTCTGTGTCAGGCCACATGCCAGCTGCTGAAGATATAATGAATAGAATCACAGGCTGATGGAATTAGAGCGAAAGGAATGTCATTATCAAGGAAGAGCACACAGATGCCACAAGGGAAAGTGGCTCAGTGATGAGCAATTTTTCTAAATGCAGTAGCTGTACGTTTAGCAAATATTTATAAAGTACCTTCTGAATTCAGGGTTGGAATAGAAAGATGAGGTATAAATTATTTAGAGCAGTGGCTTTCAGACTTTTTTTTTACCGTGACCTTCAGTAACAAATACATTTTATGTCATAACCAAGAGTATGTACAAACACAAAGCTTCAGAAAACAAGCATTATCTTTACCACTCCAGATAAATTTTTTTATTGTTCTTTTCATTTATTATTATTTATTATTATTATTATTTTATTCCTCACCTGAGGATTTTTTCTACTTATTATCAGGTAGAGTGAGAGAGAGGGAGAGAGAGAGAGAGACAGAGAGAAACATTGATGTGATAGAACCACATCAACTGGTTGTCTCCCACACGACCTGACCAGGGCCGGGGATGAACTGCAACCGAGGTATGTGCCCTTCACCAGAATTGGACCCGCGACTCATTGGTCTGCCGACCAACGCTCTAACCTCTGAGCCAGACCTGCCAGGACTCTGTTCTTTTCATTAAAAATAATTAATTCTAGCCCTGGCCAGTTTTGTTCAGTGGTTAGAGCATCAGCCTGCCAACCAATGGGTCATGGGTTTGCTTCCGGTCAAGGGCACATACCTTGGTTGCCGTTCATCCCCGGCCCTGGTCAGGATCGTGCAAGAGGCAGTCGATTTGTCCCTCTCACATCAATGTTTCTCTCTCCCTCCCTCACTCCCTCCCACTCTATCTGAAGATAAATAGAAAAATATCCTCAGGTGAGGATTAAAAAAAATTAATTCTGGTTGAGACTCTAAATTCTTAACCTATTATGAGTTGTGACTTTAAGTTTGAAAAATATGCTGATTTAAAGTGAGTCATTTGTAGTGTTGTGGGGTTAAGACAGTAAAATATGCCCTTAACATTTTTGGGAAAGGATTGGTCGTCTTTTCTTCACGGTTTTATTTTGTTTTGTTGGTGTAAAATACAAAGAGTAAAAAGAATTAAGCAGGCAACTGGTTCTTCTGTTTGTGAAACTTTAGGGTCTTGTGCGTATGTCTGGCTAGATTGGAAGTGCCTAGAGAGCCGTGACTGTCTTACTCTGGGATGTTTTATTTAGTACCCGGTAAAGATCCTGGCACAGTGCAGGCATCCAGTGATTATTTGTTGAATTGAATAGGTGTCTTGAGATTAGAAAGTTAGATAATTGTTTGGTTTAAATTAATAATGTTGGAACCATTGTTATAAATAAATACCACAGAGGCAGTGTCTGTCTGCCTATAGAAGTTTTACAGTATGTCTCCAAAGGTAGTTCAGAGGTAGGTCAAATAAGTGTTCTGAGCTCTTTCTCTTCTAAATACTGATCTAGGCCAGCCAAGCCACCTGCATCCATTCTGGGCGAGAGGTCTAGAGTTGCCACTGACCGTGGGCCCTTTGGGAAGTTGTTTCATTCCTTGGACTTTAGTTTTTTTTAATGTGTAAAAGGAGAGGGGTGAGATTTGTGGTTGAAAAGCTCTCCACTTCCCAAATCTGCAGTGAATTTTAAATGCGGAGCACCCACTTTCCACCTCTGCCCATTTCTGGGCTTTCCCTGAGGCTTACGGGAAACTGGTTTGTGCTTGATTCAATCATCCTCAATTCTTCTGGAGCTCTCTAGCAGTAGGTTTTAGGCAGAGTTATAGTTTAGAGTGGACCAGTCAGGCATTCTCTACTTTCCTCTTCTATTGTGAGAGAGAGATCCGAGAGCAGATCCTGAGTGGACAGTGGGAAGGCAGGTACCCGGGTTATAATTTGTGTGGCTTTGTATGTCCTTATGGCATCTTGAACATGTCACTTCTCTGATGTCTTTCCAGCTGTGAAGTGAGTATTCCTGCTCATTAAACTAAAATAAAAATTCTGTTCTCTCTAAATCTCACTTTTCTCATCTGTAAATGGATGCGGGGTTGTGGTGAGGATTAAGGGAGATAATTATATCAGGGGTTTGATTCAATATTTGGCACGTAGAGAATGCTCAGCAAATGAAGCATTCTTTCCCAAATTCTGACAAACTCTGATCGCTTTCTTTTTCAGCTGTTCCGAAAGATAAGAAGGATTCTCCTCTTGGTTACCCACCATTGGTCCCATGGCTGCCATGCAGATGGATCCTGAGCTTGCCAAGAGCCTCTTCTTTGAAGGGGCCACTGTAGTCATCCTGAATATGCCCAAGGGGACAGAGTTTGGAATTGACTATAACTCCTGGGAGGTGGGGCCCAAGTTCCGGGGTGTGAAGATGATTCCACCAGGCATCCACTTCCTCCACTACAGCTCCGTGGACAAGGCCAATCCCAGGGATGTGGGCCCTCGTATGGGCTTCTTCCTTAGCCTGCAGCAGCGGGAGCTGGTGGTCCTGCGCTGGAACTCGGTCCAGGAAGAGGTGGACCTCTCCCCAGCCCCAGAGGCTGAGGTGGAGACCATGAGGGCCAACCTCCAGGAGCTGGACCAGTTCCTGGGACCCTACCCATATGCCATGCTCAAGAAGTGGATCTCACTCACCAGCTTCATCAGTGAGGCCACAATGGAGAGGCTTCAGCCTGAGAGCCGGCAGATCTGTGCCTTCTCAGAGGTGCTGCCTGTGCTCTCCCTGAAGCATACCAAGGACCGGATGGAGCAGAATCTACCCCGCTGCGGCACTGAGTGCAAAAGCTACCAGGAAGGCCTGGCCCGGCTGCCTGAGATGAAGCCCAAAGCTGGGACAGAGATCCGCTTCTCAGAGCTGCCCACACAAATGTTCCCAGCAGGTGCCACACCAGCAGAGATAACCAGGCACAGCATGGACCTGAGCTATGCCCTGGAGACCGTGCTCAGCAAGCATTTCCCCAGCAGTCCCCAGGATGTGCTCGGTGAGGAGGAACAAGGCTCTTTGGGAGTGGGCCAAGGGGTGGGTATTAGATTAAGGGGTACATCTTGGGTTATCTAGTCTAGTGGTTCCTAAACCTGGTTAGGAGCCAGTCATGCCCAGTATACTCATTAAAGACACAGATGTTCAGGCCTTAACCCTGGAGATTGATTCAAGGGATCTGGTGTGGGGCCCCAGTGATTTATCTCTGTCTATTTATGTAATAAACAGGAACCCTAGGTGAACCTGATGCAGACAATCCTGTGTTTGGGAACCACTGACATGGCCCAGCCCCTCATCTTACAGATTGAGGTCCGTAGAGGGAAAGGATTTGACTAGGTGGTCAAAAGGAGACCAGAGCCGAGGGTTCCTGGTTCCCTGATCTCCCACTTGCCTCCTTGGTTTGCTCCTGACTCTCTCAAAGCATTGGTTTCTCTACTGGCTTAGACCAGGACAGTGACTTTTTAAAGTTATTATAGTTTTTATTTTTCTCTTATTACAAAAATATATTCATCATAGAAAAAACAAGCAATAAAATTCACTCTAGTTTCCACAACCTAGAAATAACCATTTTTTACATTTTGGTATATTTACTTCCCATCTTTTATAGATAGATAGATAGATAGATAGATAGATAGATAGATAGATAGATAGATATTTACTTCCCATCTTTTATAGATAGATTGATTGATTGATTGATTTTATTTCAGTCTTTTCCCTATATTAATTTCTATATTTCCTTTTAGTTTTTTTTTAGTTCAAATATATGTTTCTATGATGTATGGTGGTGGTGGTGTTTTTTTACAAAAAACAATTATGGTATATTATTTTGTAATCTACTTTAATACAAATATTTTTCTATGTCACTGAAACAGTCACTCCTCTTCTTTAGTGGCTGCTAAAGTTCCATGGTTATTGAACCAGCCCATTGCTGATGGACCTTTAAGATGTTCCTATTTTCCCTATTACAAGTGTTGTCTAGTGAACATCCTTGAGTGTATTTCTGCATATGTTTAGGGTTGAAATTGTTGGGTCAGAGCGTGCATGTTGTCAGAAGAAGGTGGCGCATCCTCACCAACTGCTGGAAGGCTGTTGCCTGTCACCTTTGACATGGCAATTTAGCAAAGACCTCTTCCACCTGGGTGGTTGGAGAATGACATCTTATTTCAATTTACAGTTGACCCTAAACAATACAGATTTGAACTGCATCCAGGAGTCCCTGGAGGCAGGGGGCCTACTGGCTGTGTTGATCTATGCTATTTTATATGGGAACGTGAGCATTCACAGATTTTGGTGTGGGGGCGGGTATCCTGACACCAGTCTTCTGTGGATACTGAGGGGCAATTAAGTTTTTGGGGAGTCAAAAGTTATATGCAGATTTTGACTGCACAGGATGTTGGCTCCTCAACCCCCGTGTTATTTAAGGATCAACTGTATTTTTTTTCAGTTACTAGTGATGGCAAACATCCATCACATTTTTAACTGCTATTTATATATTTTTTACAGTTGTCTAGGTATTTGCATATTTTTTTATTGGAAGATCAGTGAGAAATTTGGATATAGGGCCTTTTAAATCATTGGCTTAGCTGATAAAAAGGGACATTTTGTTCTTGCCATTGTGCTCAGTGGTTAGAGCATCAGCCTATGCACTGAAGAATCTTGGGTTCAATTCCCTATTAAGGGCAGGTACCTGAGTTGCAGGTTGATCCTCGACCCCAGTCCAGCACGTGACGGAGACAACCAGTTCATGTCTCTTAGATTAATGTTTCTCTCTCTTTCTTCCTCTCTTCCCCTCCCCCTCCCTCCCTTCCACTGTGTCTGAAGAAAAATTAATGGAAAAAAGATCCTTGGGTGAAGATTAACGGAAAAAAAGAGAGGGTGGGACATTTTAATGAATGTATCTTAATGCATTACACAGTATTTTTATTTAATAAGTAATACTTGAAATTTTGGCTTAAAAATGAACAGAAATCCTGTTTTTTACCTCTAAAATATTTCAGTTCTTTGTATCTTCATGACAGCTCTTTGAAATTATTTCTGATCTTATGATATAATTTTAGACTAGGCCAGAAATGCATGAATTTAAATAAATGCCCTAAATTCAGAGAACAAGCTCATGTTTTTACAAACCAATTGGGAAAAGCCAACTGAAGAAGCATATTATTAACCTCTATCACACAAAGAAAATTTGACTATACATGTATTTTGAAAATATCGATCAGATGTCCTACATATCTAGACCAGGTAGCTAGCTAGTCACAGGTGTTGAGTGCGTCTGTTGTTTTTATGGCCCACGGGTAGGTCCATGGAAGCCCTCATTAAATCTAAAGCCAGACAGAACAGCTCTGATCAGCAGTAGTGTATCTTGGTAACCAGAGACCCAGTTGCTTGCCCAAGGACAGTAGACTCTAGATATTCGGGTCTCTTTGTTTGAGACAGGCATCCAGTGGAAATGTGGGGATAATAACTAATATTTCTTGAATGCTACTTAGTGCCATACATTATTTTAAATGCTTTACATACATTATATTGATTAATTTAATCCTCACTATAACCTTTAATTAAGGAGATTGAAGCATAAACAGGTTAAGTAACTTGCCCAGGATCACAGCTGCTAAGTGATAGAACTGAGATTTGAACACAGGCAGTTTGGCTCCAGAGCCCAGGCTTTTTGCCACCAACCTGATCATAGAGATTAAATCACAGAGCCCTGTGATTAAACAATAAAAAATAATCTTGCTGGCAGGCTAACCCTGGAACAAGTCCCCCTGAATTTTCCTCGTCTGGGAGGTTCTAGAACTGTTCCCACCCAATAGAAAGTCTGTTTTATCTTTTAATTGTTCACATCCCCAAGTGTTAGATGCGTGACCTTGGGCAAGTCCCTTGACCTCGTCTATAAAATGAGGCAAATACCACCTTCCCCTGACCACCTTGTGGAGTTGGACTGAGGATTACATGGTGTAATACAGCATTTCCCTGAACCTGAAGCAGATCACCTGCATCAGAATTAGAGCTACAAACACTGAGGCCCCATCATCCGCCAGGATCTCTGCGGGTGAGGCTTGGGCAGCTTTATTTTTAGAACGCTCTCCTAGTAATTCTGTTAGACAGCCAGGTTTGGGATCCACTTGGCATAATATCCATGGGCACATTTTGCAAACTCTTTAAATGTCAGGCAGATACTAGGTGTGCCTGTTCTCTTGCAGTCTGATTTTATAGAAATCCAAATTTACAGCAGTTCAGCTAACTTTCATTAAGGACCTGCTTGGTGCAAGACTCCATGCTAGGCTCTGCAGGAGTGACAGGAGTGACAAGGCAAGTGCCATGCCTTGCTGAGGTCCAGTGGAATTGACAGCCTCACACAGTCAGCTGGCTCTCTCTTCCCTCAGGATCATTTCTCCTCTCTGTGCCTTTCAGGGGAACTTCAGTTTGCCTTTGTGTGCTTCCTGCTGGGGAATGTGTACGAGGCATTTGAGCACTGGAAGGGGCTCCTGAATCTCCTGTGCCGCTCAGAGGAAGCCATGGTGAAGTACCATACTCTCTACATCAACCTCATCTCCATCCTGTACCACCAGCTGGGCGAGATCCCTGCTGACTTCTTTGTGGACATTGTGTCCCAGAACAACTTCCTCACCAGCACCTTACAGGTGAGCAGTCTTTGGTACCCTCAGAAGGGGTTACCTTTTTGTTTCTTACTATTCTTTCATGACCCAAAGTTTTCTTAATTTTTATTTCTTAATATTGGACTGTTTCCTGGTTCTCTCTCTGACTCACTTCTAAGCTCCTTGATGCTAGAGACTCTCTGTACCACCCCCTCTCCTTCTTCCCCCCAGAGTGCCTAGCATGGAGTACTTGGAATTTGAATCACCTTCACCCCTTTGAGCCACTAAGCTCAAAGCACATTTTCTTTCCCCTTGTAGCCATAGCTGCAACCCAGTAGGACAGAGTTTGGAAGCTTGTTACTCCCAGGGAAACATCTGCAGCTCCTTAGATCTCATTTCAGCATTGAAGTAACTTTGATTTCCTGTGTCAAACAAAATGTGCCAGTTTTTGCAGAGATTCTCTGACAGAAAAAGTGAAATTTGCTTTTAACTTGGCAATTAAATTTTCATTATGAGTGGTAATTAGGGAAGAAGCTTCAAACAACTCACAGTCTTCATCCTGTGCTATTTCCTCCCTTTGCAAACAGATTAGCTTCCTTTATGTTCTTGGGACAGCCTCTGTCACTCACGTTTCGTGACTTTCTCAAGTATAGAAGAGGCAGAAGCTGCAAGCTGTCAGTTTCCGTATTTTCTATTCCATAGCTGCTTTCTTCTCCCTGTGTGTGAGACCCTCACAGGACCTGCTCCTCACAAAGTGGCTATTCACTGACCTCCCACTCCACATGGAGTGAGGGACAGAACAAACATTCATTAAGTGCCTGTTGAGTATCAGGCACCATGTCTATCATGCTACATTGGTTTCCTTATGTAATTTCTCTGGAGTGCTGTAGGCAGGGAGGATTGTTCCATTTTACAAATGAGAACACTGAGGCTCAGAGAGGTTAAGTCATTTATGCAAGGTCACACTGCTGGTAAGGGGCAGAGTCAGGATTTGTACTCAGGCCTGTGTCTTGGTTTCGGGCCAGTGCTTATGCCCGTGCATACTGAATACAGTGTAGCCCCCCTCCCTCGAAAGGATGTTTGATTGATAGTAGTGGAGACACCATCATGCCTGTTTCTCAGAAGTACAGAACACTTTTCTAAAACCAACATACTGTTGGAAGAGTTCCTGTGAACAGGCAGCTGACTTCAAACTGGCAGCTGGAGGACTTGTGCAGACCATGGGGATGAGTCAGTCAAGCTGATGGCTTGAGCCTGGTCTATTCCACTTCAGAAGCGTTATAAAGCTGCCCTTTTATTGGTTCTTAATGTAACAGAGAAATTAAATCCTTCATCCTTCCTCTTAGGGAAAATCCCCACCAAAGGTACTGAGTGTGGTTGCAGAGGAGTAGGAGGCATCAGCCTGCTAACTCACCTTGGCATTGGCTATGGCCGACAGGAATATGTGCCACCCTCATGATATGCGTTAATGTTATCTCACAAACATCAGAGGGCCACGCTGTGTTGCTGGCTGTTCTGACCATTGTCAGCACAACCAGCAGCTGAGCTCTAATTGCTGAGGCTTTGTTGCCAGCAATGATTTACGAAGCAGAAAGGGCCCAGCTGGATTGCTAGATGCCCAGGTGGGGTGTGCAAAGCTGATGGATGGAGGAATTCTGTCTTTGGACTTTTCACCAAGAAAATTTGATGTCGTTATTTGGAAAAATCCAGAACATGTGCCTTTAAAAAAATAAATCAACATATATTTGTGAGCATCTTTTATTTAAATACAACATTCTCCCAAAAGTGTTGCAGATTAGCCAGCGTTTCTGCCCTCAGATTTGTTCATGGCATTAGCAGGTATTTTCTTAGTACCTGCTGTATACAAGGCTTTGTTCTAAGACTAGAAGTATAGCTGTGAGCAAGACAGAGTCTCTGACTTTCAGCTTATATTTTGGTGGGAAAGTAAATAAATGAGTTAACAAAATAACTCCAGAAAGCGATAAGTGTTTTAAAAGGTAGTCCTGCCCTGGTACCATTTTCCTAACCCAGGCTTTTTGGTCTCATCTGAGCTGCATCAGCTTCCTGCCTGCCCTTGTCAGTCCATCTGTCTCCCACTCTGCCACCTGAGTTGCTGCTCTAAATGCACATCTGATCCTATTTCTCTGCAGCTCCCCATTGCCTAGAAAGTTAAAAGCCCAAGCATAGGTCATAAGGCCCACTGTTTTCTGACTCCTAACCTGTTCACTAGCTGCTCCTTACTCTCCCTGCTTTCCTCCATCAACTCCAGTGACAGCAGTCTCCTTGCAAGATTCCAGATGTCCTGTGCTGTTTCATGCCTTCTTTTTTTAAATATGTTCTTATTGATTTTTTTTTTTAGGGAGAGAGAAACATCGATGTAAGAGACAAACATCGATTGGCTGCCTTCTGCACACCCCCTACTGGGGATCAAGCCCAAAACTTGAGCATGTGCCCTGACGGGGAATCGAACCGGGACCTCGCAGTCCATGGGACAACACCCAGTCCACTGAGCCACACCAGCTGGGCTATGCCTTCTTTAAAAAAAAAAAAAAAAAATTGCGGTAAAAAAACACATAACATGAGGTCTGTCCTCTTAAAATTTAGTGTACAGAACAGTACTGTTAACTATAAGCACAGCAGAGCTCTAGAGCTTTTCATCTGGCGTGATGGATGGGAACATGGGTACAAAGTGTTAGGCCTTCTTAACTGTTGCACGCTTCTTTTAAATTATGTTTCTGTGCCCTAGCCAGTTTGGCTCAGCACTTGGAGTGTCAACCCACGAACCTAAAGGTCGAGGGTTAGATTCCTGGTCAAGGGCACATACCTGGGTTGCAGATTCGATCCCCGGCCCTGGTCAGGGTCTTACGGGCAGCAGCCAATCAATGTGTCTCTCTCACATTGATGTTTCTCTCTCCACCCCTCCCTCCTGCTCTGTCTAAAAAATTCAATGGAAAAAGTGTCCTTGGGTGAGGATTTACCAAAAAAAAAAAATTATGTTTTTATTATTGATTTTAGAGAGAGAGGAAGGGAGGAGAAGAGAGAGAAACATCAATTGGCTGCTACTGGGGATCAAGCCTGCAACCTGGGCATGTGCCCTGACCAGGAATCAAACCAGTGACCTCTCGGTGCATGGGTCAATGCTTAACCAACTGAGCCAACTAGCCAGGGCTGTTGTATGCCTTCTTTTTTTTTTTTTTTTTTTTTTTAATCCTCACCCGAGGATATTTTTCCATTTTTTGTACAGATAGAGTGGGAGGGAGGGAGAGGAAGGGAGAGACAGACAGAAACATCGACGTGAAGGGACACATCGAGTGGCTGCCACCCACACGACCAACCAGGGCCAGGGACAAACTGCAACCGAAGTACGTGCCCTTAGCGGGAACCGAACACGGGTCTCTCCGGACCGCAGGCCAACGCTCTAACCGCTGAGCCAAACTGGCCAGGGCTGTTGTATGCCTTCTTAACTGAACCTGACTTTCCCTCTGCCTGGTGTACTTGTTTATCCTACAAGATGCCCTCAAAGCACCCCACCCTGTGAAGCCACACCTGATCTCTCTCCTTTCCATACTGTCAGCCTATTTCGTACTTGTCACAACCATATCACACAGGCTGTGCTTGCTGAAATGTACATATTGTCTGCCTGACTGCCCCACTGCCCAAGAGCTTTCACCCAGAGCCTGTTTCTGTTCATCTGGCTACTTTGAACACCTAGTCAAGGCCTAGCACTTGTCTCACTTTGTGTTATTGGTTGTTTTTAGGTGACTAGAGTGTATAATTCCTCTGGCAATGTAAATAGATGACCCTAATATGATAGATGTAAACAATGAAGTCAGATCAAAAGGCATTAAGAGCACCAAAGAGAGATTGGTTAATTCAGACTGTGGTTGAGATTTGAGGGGACAGGATCAGGAATGGCTTTTTGCAAGGGGAGGTGGGTAGGAATGTGGCGTTTGACCATGAGCTTGAAGGATGACTGAGATTTCAACAGAGACAATATAGAGAAGGATATTACAAAACTTCTTTTTTAATGGAGAGTTACGTTGATGCCATCTTGGCAATGAGAATCCAGTCCCCCCATACAGAGGCACTCACTCTCACTAGGGGTGTTTATGACTGAATGAATCAGCCCATAAAAGCCTTCCTCAGCCAGCGCCTGCTTCCCCCCAGGTAGTCAAGTAAGGAGCTGGCTTTCTTACTTAAGAGCTTAAATGGCTACTACCTGTGGCGAGGGGCTGGTGTGTGTGTGTGTAAGCACTTGAAGGCAGCCCATTAGCTTGTATAAAACCAGCCACACAATGGCCTCTGCCGCTAGAGGCCCTTTTGAATAGATGCCACTGGTTTTTACAAATCCCATGGACTTAGCTTGAATAAAAATTATTTGTTTTATAAAAATAAATACAGTCTTTTCTTTTATTTAAAGCTACTTGAGTCACCACAATTTGTTTCAAACCAATGAAAGGATAATCTGAATTTAATAGTATGTTAGAAAGTGAGTTATGTACAAAATAAGGATTCTTGTTGCTGATTGCACAGCATTTAGGCATCTAGTCACATAATCTGTTTTTTAAAAAATGCTTTTAGTCACAATGGGACATATATGCATTCCAGCTTCATTTCTTGTGAGTATTCTAAATACCAGTGTCCATCTTTAATTTTTGAGAAAAAACATTAGCTCTGAAAATGAGGTCTATGGTATTTTTGTCATCATACCAGCTATGTTAAATTTCACCTACCTACTCCTACACCTCCTGCCTTCAGCTGTCTACTACTTTCATACACTAACTGTGCATTATTTCATTTACCCTCAAAACAATGCTCAGAATTAAGGCTATAATCCCATTTACATGTGAGGAAATAGGATCAGAAGGTCACATGATTTTGCCCACGCTCACCAGAGCTAGTAGATGGTGAGGCTGGGCTGATTCTAAAGCCTGTGGTGAGCTCTCATATGTTAGAACCCCACATGAAACACCCAGAATTCTTTACACTGAACCCCAGAATTATTCCCACTGCTTTTCACTTTCCTGGTTATCATTGTGAAGTGA